TTTTTCTATGGTTAGGGTTTTTTCTGAGGTTAGGTTTTTTTCTAGGGCCAGGGATTTTTTTTAGGGTTAGGTTTTTTCTGAGGTTAGGGTTTTTTTTTTCTAGGGTCAGGGATTCTGTTTTTTTTTCTATTGTTTGGGGAGTGTTTTCTAGGGTTATGGTTTTTATGGGGTTAGAGTTTTTTTTTGGTAAAAGGGAAAACTAAAACAAAGCAGCGCAAGTAGCCAATCATTCAATGTGAGGGGAAAGCAGAGTGACAGAGAGACGAGCTCATCACTGCGCTGCTTCTCCTTTCACTGGCCGGTCACAGGTTGGGGGCTCGTCCGGGATGACCTGGGCTCAGAGGAAGTGGGGTGAATGATGCGGGCCCCCAGACTGAGGATATCCAGTAGGAGGAAAAAAAGTACTGTGGGGGGTAAATCTCTATTTATAAGCCGAATATTGCAGAAAAAGCTGATTTTGTTATTTTGTTATTATTTTTTCTGGTGATTTTTGGGGTTTAGATTTTATTTAAATATCCGCAACCCATTCAAATTTTTTTTTCCTTTTTAGATTGGAGGCGGGAACAATCTTCACCCACATCTGCTATATATAGCTGCCGGGGTCATCGAAGAGTCCCGCAAGCTGAGGCTGCAATCTTTCAACGAATACCGGAAGAGGTTCGGGCTGAAGGCGTACAAGACGTTCCGGGATTTCACAGGTACAACCAATGGATGAGGCCGCCGAATGTTCACCACGTGCATCCGAAGCAGCAGGAGGGGGCGGAGACAAGATCAGTCACTCTGCACAAGCAGAGAGATCAGTGACCGGTCTTTTTTACAGGAGGGGGCGGAGACAAGACCGGTCACCCTGCACAAGGAGAGAGATCAGCAGTGAGCCGTCTTTTTTACAGGCGGGGGCGGAGACAAGACCGGTCACCCTGCACAAGGAGAGAGGGTAACAGTGAGCGGTCTTTCTACGCGATGCCGCTGAACCACGGACATCCCGCACTCAACTGCAGGCAAACGGCTCAATACATACATGTGTGCGTCTGTCCATCCAGTCCTGAGATTTACACAGCCCTCCCTGGCAGGGCAGGAAACCCGATTCCTCTCTGCTACACTCGTCACACTTACAGGTCTTGCCCCTCCCCCATTGAAAAGAAAAGCAGCAGATGGATAAGGTCATCTCTCTGCTCTCTCCTCCTATCAGCACGTCTCCTGTGAGGCTTCTCCCCTTCACAGCCTGAGCTGTGCTGTACAGGGGCTGCCAGAGGCTTCTCTGCTGCCGGCAAACAACATTTACAGGTCATGTCCCTCCCAGTCTGTGATTGGTCAGTGAAAGGAGAAGCTGCAGGCCCATCTCTCCGTCACTCTGCTCTCTCCTCCTATCCGCATGCTCATTGCACTGCTTCTCCCTCTCCCGCTGTGAGCTCGGCTGTACAGCGGCTGCAAGAGGCGGATAACCTGCAGGGACTTGCACATTTTGAAGGCAAGTATTCATTTTGTGGAGTTCAGATTTTATATTGAAAGAAAGAAACTCGATATTTGGGGGTCATTTCCCATTA